GCTCCTGGAAGGCAGGCCAGGCCCAGCAGCCTCCAGCACACGTTTCCAAGAAAACCCCTGGACCTGTTGCCCAGGAATGCAGGTGGATGTGGCAGGGGTGCACGGGGGGGACAAGCTGCTTCTCGGGGACACCCTCCCTGTGAGCCCTCCTTTGTTCCTTCTACCAGCCCCACGTAGGTGACGCTCCCTCGGGTAGTGTCCTTCCGTGGCCCAATGCAGGGCTGCAGGCACACAGACGGGGGGAGCAGGTGGGTGTTCCTGCAGCCAAACACACAGTGACAAGAAGATGAGGACAATGCATTCTGACTTTTATCCTTCAGGAAGTTGCAGAAAGAAACAAAAGGCTCCAGGAGCGGCAGTAGTCCGTGTTCGGCCACCACACCCTTTTTGGACACTGTCCTCTGTGGGGTCAGAGAGCTGGGCCTGGTGCTGCAGCCTCCCTCGTCCATGCCAGGCCCCACACTGAAGGCCAGATGGATGCAAAGGGGGAAGCGCTGAGCCATGGAGGGTTGCCCCAGGGCTACGAGTGAGGCCCCCACTCTATCCCTACACTACACAGCACACACCCTCCTCTCAGAGCCCACTGCTCACACTCAGACTGTCCTCCCCAGGAGGCTCATCCCAATTCCAGAAGGCGAGGTCCACGGAGCAAACCTGCTTGTAAATCTCAGCCCCTGTCGTTCCCTCGGTGTGATCTGGGCCAGGACTGGAACTAACGTACGTGGAGGGCCCTGCACTGTGCTGAGCGCCTGTGCTTATTTGCTCAGTGATGACTCAGGCATCAGATGTAGAGGCTGCAGAAGGATCTGTGTGAGGTTTCTAACCCACTCCAGCTAGAAGGCAAGGGTGAGGGAAAGAAGGTAATAAGGCAAGAGGAGAGGCTGAGGTGGAAAGTAAGTGGCAAGAAAGCTGGAAAAGACGGTAAAGAAGCAGGAGGCCACTGGAGGTTTGATAATAGGCAACAACAGGGGCTTTCCCTGCCAAGAATCCAGGGGGTCAGCTCCATAGGTACCCTGTGAAAGTTCAAGCACAGAACCAAGTGATTTGCTTCTGGAACGTACAGATGCCAGGGAGCACCCACCTGGGGCAGGCATCAATAAGGTGGAAAGCTGAAGATCCTTTCTCTTCCTGGCCTTTCAGAGTGGAACCGGGAAGCATCTGACATTGAGCAAGCACATACTCTGTGCATAGAAATAACACTGCAAAGAGGGACCATGACTCTTTCTGGGAGTCAGTGTCAGGAATGTTAATTTTCTTCTCTATATTTTCCTACGTTATCCCTTTATAAAATGTACATGCATCCCTTTTTAATTACCAGAAAGTCAGAAAAACAAATTCAGCTTTTTAGTTTGAGCCCTATTTCAGACTATTGGCATCTTTAAAAATCTTAAATGCAATTGTTCAATATTTTAGCTAGCTATCCTTTTTCCAGCTCTAACCCTTGCAGATTTAGAAGTATGCCTTGTTTTTTAGAGTGTTAACAAAACTGTTGAATAAAAAACAAGTACCACCCTCTAGACAGAGCCAGGCCTGACTCACATTCATTCAGCACCAAGGAGGTGCTCCTGTCAGGGCGGCCCCATCCTGCCCCTCTTATCCATACAGTCAGGAAAACAGAGATTTGCTTTTGATAAAAGAAAGACGTGTTAATTCACGAACTCAGTAATCATGTCCTAAGAAACAAATCAAGCACATCCAGCAATCCTTAGTAGAAACTATGGTCTCCTGTGTTGAAAGATCCCAACTTGTTCTTCTAAGTCTCCAAACGGTCTGCTTCTAAACCACTTCCTGTTTGCTCTGGGATGGAAGCCTGTAATACTACTGATTTCCAGCATTCACCTTTTATGCACTTAGGAAAACTAGGACAGCACTGCCAGTCTCTGGCCTTCTGCCGTTTATCCTTTTCCCCAGGTCAAATGCCACAAAAGTGGTTTCCCAAGCACTGCAGGTTATGGGGAGCACTCCAGCATAAGACTCACAGCTAGGCAGCCAAAAGTTCGGTGCTTGCGGCTCTCCCCTCTTGGGTTCCAAATTCTCTCAAAACTGCGTGCATTCCCTCCCTTCTCAGATGACAGACCATACTCCTGGATACGGAAGTACTGTGCAGAGAGATTATCCAATGGGAAGCCATTCCCCTCTGACAGGAACAGTAACAGGCAGCTCATCAGGAAGTTTCCCCTCATGCTATTGCCCTGATCCCTATCACTGCTGGTCCAGCAGAAGTAAACCCACACACGCACACACGTGCACAGCCAGGGGGCTAGCAGGTACTTCGTCTGGGAACGCAGGGGCCCTCACAGGCAGACACCCACCAGCAGAAGCCGCAGACGTCTCCCATTTGCTAAGTTTGAAATCATAGCCCCCTCAACAGGGCTCTACACAGAGCAGGGTGGCTTTCAAAATATTTATTAATAACAATGACTAATGGGGAAAACAAGAGCCATCTGGTTTCTGGCTCTCTTTCTCTAATTTAGCTCTAAACAACTTTATTAGTTTGTTTTCTCATTCTTTAAGCCCTTATTCCATGCCCACAGATGACCTTGGGTGGGGGAGGGGTGAAGTAATGAACAAGATCCTTCTGGTTCAGGGAGGGAAGAGGGTAAGGGACAGACAGGTTCCAGGCCCCAGACCCTGTAAGCATCAGCTACTACAATAGACTGCTCACAACCAAAGACTACAAGAAAGAACACAGACAAAAATTACCCAGTGTGCAACCCAGGTTCTGAAAAAGAAAGGGCTTAATAAACAATTATTAAACAATTCCAATATGGGGCGCCTGTGAGGCTCAGTGGGTTAAGCACTTGACTTCGGCTCAGGTCATGATCTCGTGGTTCGTGAGCTCGAGCCCTGCTTCAGGTGAGCCCCGCTTCTTTCTCTCTCCCCCTCTCTCTGCCCCTCACTCACTTGTACCTCCCCTTCTCAAAAAACAAAACAAAATAAAACAAAACAATTCCAATGTATCTGGTACATATTGTTGTGGAATAATATACAGGATTCATCAAAGGGGTCCATACTCTTCACGCTGAGATGCATAAACCACAAATCACTGCTCACACCATTCTGTACTGTGTCAGGAACTGGGTAGGCTCTCTTGATGCAGGCTGCAAGGACCGACACGCAGGGGTGACATTCCCAGGGAGGAACTGATCACAGTCAGCCAGTACTGCTGGGACAGGGATGCAGGCGGGGTGATCCCAATTCTAGACGCAATGTAACTTGCTGCCCGACTGGCTTCCATCAGCAGCTCTGACATGGGTGGGGAGAGCACATCTCAGCCAGGAAGACGCTGCAGGGCTCACTGGCAGGCAGCTTTTCGGTTCCTGCCAACCACAGGGACACGCTCACTAAGGCCCTGGCAGGGCTGGGGGTGAAGTGCTCCCAAGGCCCCATCATCACCCTTAAGCAGGAAGCTCTTTGAAACTTAGTTGTTTGCGTGTTTTGTCAGTTTTCTAGAAATTCAGAAAAAAAGGTATAGGAATACTTTCCTTTGGATTCTCTTAAAAATCTGGCACTTATTAGAAAGAAAGGAGCTGAGGAAATCCCCAATGGTGATCTGCTTGTGAACAGCTCCCAACTAACCAAACCCATGCGATACAGCAGAGAAAGGAGAGGGTAGGGAGACCAGGGCTCAGCAGTATAGGACTTATAGAGCAATGTACAATTTGTGCCATTTCTCTGTGAGACAGTCTCCTTGTCTGTAAAATGGGGCTAATCATACTTGCCTTTTGGCGCTGTGGGTAAGGTGAAAGGTGACCCTAGGGGGAGCCACTTTATCACCACAGGGTGATACACAGCTGTTAGCATAAAGATCCCTACACATGCGACGATTAATACTACATTCTCCTCACTGAATATGCCTCTATGGACAGGACGGTTTATGGCACTGATCTACAAAGTAGTTATTTATAGGGGTGTCTGGGTGGCTCAGTCGGTGAAGCATCCAACCCTTGGTTTTGGCTCACGTCATGATCTCATGGTTTCGTGAGTTCGAGCCCCATGTCAGGCTCCATGCTGACAGTACGGAGCCTGCTTGGGATTCTCTGTCTCCCTCTCTCTCTGCCCCTCCCCTGCTCGTGCTGTCTCTCTCAAAATAAACAAATAAACTTTAAAAACTAAAATAAAATAAACCCAAAGTACTTATTTCTTGCTTGTTTTTCTTCACAATCTCTTTCCTGCCATCACTGGACCAAAGAGCTGGCAAGAAGCTCTAAGAGAAGAGCATGCCCCGCCTCCCATCTGTCCCAGGGTGCTGAGGACCCTGGGCACCCATGGCAGTGGGCCTGACTTTCCTAGGAACTCTGTGTCCCAGGGCTGTCATCCCCTTGCTCACCCCTCCAGGTGCAACCTTCTCCCTCTTGGAAACAAATTATAATCAATTTCTCCATTCTCCAAGAGGATGGGGAGGACACTCGCCTAGAAAACTCCTGAGGCCTCCCAGTCATTATTGCAGACACCTTTTACAGCACTCACACATTTCCCTTCCTTGATCCACTGTGGCCACTTCAGGGCATGAAACTTTCAGGTGAAGCAGAAGGAAGGCATTTTACATGCTGGGGGATCTGAGGCTCCAGACCTGGCCTTGCTGGGCCGTCTCAGCTGCTGGGCAAGATACAGGCTCTGTTGGGGCCTCAATTTCCCCCACCTAGATTAGAGGTGATTACTGTTCTAGGTAGTATCTCAGGACCCCTCCAGTCCTAATTCCTCCAATTCTGGGAAATTTATTTGCATTTCCCGACTTATGCTGACTTAGGGGAACGTGCTCAGGCCCACTAGGTTGAGGTGAGGAACACCGGGGCCTGATGAGGACATGGGTACTGTTCCAATGGTGATGCAGGGTGGGCTGTGTGTGCCGTGGGGGTGGGGAACCTTGCCTGGCACCAGTGCATCCTGGCATAGAGGAGGCATCCAACAGGCCAGTGCTCACTGGACTCGTGTCCCAGAGCAGTGCCTGTCCTATGCTGAGAGAGGAAAGGCTGTGGCAGGAGCAAGGTTCCACTCACATGGGGCGTGGAACATGACGAGAACAGAGGAGTGTTCCTTCACAAACTGGTCAAAGTCTTCGTCGGTCAGGTGATAAACGGAGCCGCCCTCATCTGCCCAGGGAGTCTCGGGGACCTGGGGCTGTGGCGGCTGTGGACTGGAAGACCAAAAACAGGCAGAGCTCAGAGCAAGCCCGGGGCCTGAGCAGCCCTTACGAAATCCAGCCCCCTGGTGAAAGCTCCCACTGGCTCATATGGCCTGCTGCAAGGGCTCACCAGAAACCCCTCAGTGGAGAAGCCAGGGGTGAGCGATCTGGCCCTGCCCACCCTGCCTTCCCCTCAGAGCCCCAGAAGTGTAGAGCTGATGTCTTCTTATAAATAGTGGCTTTCAGCTAGAGCTCCCTAGGCAATTCAAGAAACCCCACTTCCTCCCAAGAATCTGGGGGTTTGATAGCATCTCAAGCTCTTTCAAACTTTCAGCAAACTGGCAAGAATAAATAGCAACAAAAAAGTGACCTTTGGAAAAGCTCTCTGTTGTGCTTGGTAGCTCCCCACAGGAAGGGCAGAGAGTGGGGAGAGGAAAGAATGGGGGGGCAGGGTATGTGCAGTGGTATGGAGGAAAGAGAGAGGCCAAGTGTATGAGAAAGACCAAATTTGGGCTGGGGAAGGGGCTGGGAAAGGGAGGCTGCCACATGGGTGGTGCGAGGTGTTCACTGACCAGCATGGGAGGAAGGTTGTGATGAGGAAGAGTGAGGCCAAGGGGAACAAGATCAGGGACACCCTAACCTTGACAGCATCTACACTATATCACTAATCCTTCCTAGAGACAACTGGATAACTGGAAGGAAGTTATCTAGTTCTCTCAGAGGCAGAGCGCTGGAGCAGGAAGTCAGGCTTGGAGGTCAGTCCAGATCCCTCCTCCCCACCTGCTAGCTGAAAACCTGGGGAAGCTGTCTAACCTCCCAGGAGCCTGCTTCCACCTGGGATGACCACACGCTGGTATCTGCATCACCAGATGTTCTGGGGAGAGGCTGCAGGACCCTCTGTTGCTCCAGAGTTGAGGACAAGACTGCTGGTGACACAGAGCTCCAGCTGCTTTGCTGCCACACGCACCTTTGCCAGAGCACCTTAATTGCCACTTGAAAAAACCCTTTAGGATGACAAATGTGAAAAGACAACCATCGTTTCCTGCCTTTGAGGGCCTACAGTAGAGAAAAGGTGTACGGTTCCAGCAGCCAGAACTAGAGATAATGAGAGAAAATGTGGCTGACACAATGGGATCTGCCGACCCTGCCGTGTGACTAGCAGAGCGGAACCTGCCACTCCCAACCCACAGAGGGCCTGGGTTTGATGTCACCTTTAGAAGCCCTCCCTTCTGGCCTCAGCCACCCTGAACCCAAGCAATGGGAAATAGCAGTAAGAGGGCAAACCACTTCCAGCCCATGCACGGCCAGTGTCCGATGTGGCTGGTGGCAAAATCAAACTTTAGAATGAGTCACTAGCCAGATGATGGTCCTAGACCGACACCAGGAGACCTAGGCTCCCATACTTGGACTCAAAATACCACTAATTCCACTTTAGGGAATTTATCTTTCCAGTACACCTGCACACTTGCAAAACTATGTATGTTTGAGGTATTTGTTGTAGGATGATCTGTCATGGCAAAGACTAGAAACAACCTGTGTTAGTTGGTAGGAAATGGTTACATAAACTGCAGTCCGTCCACACTATGGGGGTTCAGCATGATGAAGAACAAAAAGCTCTCTATGCATGGACATGGATAGACCACGGGGACATACCGAACAGGCCATAACATACTAATTTTTGCATAAAATAGGGAGAGATAAAAAAAATTAGTAATCCGCATTTGCTTGTATCTGCATAAAGAAACTAATCAAAGTCGTTGCCTCTAGGGGGTTGGGGGGTGGGGAACAGGATGAAGGAAACACATGGAAGCAAGACCTGTCAATGTAGGATTTTTAAGTATCTTTTTAAAGAATCATTTTTATTACATGAATGGAATCTATTCAAAAATGAAAATAACTTTTAAACATCTTGTGACAGTACAGAATGGAGAAGCCATGGCTTAGCTGCTGTACAAACGTATGAAAGTGCCTGAGAAACTTCTAGTTAAGCACAGAGAACACACTCTAAAACCACCACAGTAATAGTACAAGACTTAAAAAGAAGAAAGTAAGAACCCACAGAAGCAAAAAGAACAGGAAAGAATACAACGGCGAAGATAGAAAAAGAGGTCAGTGCAATTTTAGAAGCTAGGAAACGGACCTAGCAAAACAGAAGGCAGAGACCTGAGGTGCTGGGTGCGGTCAGGGGGCGGGGGACAACCACACCCATAGCAAAGGTGCTTAAGGACCCCGAGGCACCACCCCTTGAAGCAGGGCTGTGGCTGGGGCTAGAAACAAGGGCACATGGAAAGCCTGAAAGCCAGGCCCTCAGATCCTGGCCCTCAGACTAGCAGCCAGGTGAACACCCCTCTCCCACCCAGTAGACAACAGCTGACTCTCTGGAGAGGATTGCCAGAGCTGGGCACAGTGGCAAGAGTACTCACTAGACAGAGAAGGATTGAGCAGAAGTCTGAAGCCAAACACAATGGCTGAATTATGCCTTTTACATCTCTCTCCTTGAAGACTGGGGCTCCCACTTACCACTGTACCTCCCACACCTAATGATGCACACACCCAGGAGATGCGTTTTGAATAAATGATGGAATTAGAGAAGAATGGTTGAAGGAACTGTGTGTTTAATATGGAGAGGACGTGGGGAACACAATAGCTATCTTCAAATATTTCACACTGCATCAGAAGGAGAAAGTAACATTTATTTTCTATGGCTCCGAAGGGGAGAACCAACAAGTAGAAGACCCAGAGAAAGAACCTTCAGTCAACAGAAGAACCTTCTACCTACAAGAGATGGGAGGGAAAGAGAGCCATGCTGGGAGCCAGAAAAGCTGCATTTGAGTCCTATTTCCTCCATTTACCAGCTCTGCGGCTTAAGCCACCAACCTGACCTCAGACACCTACAAGATGAAGTATTTGGAGGCCTTTCCTTACCTCTCAGGTACATCTAGACAGATAATGTTCCAGAGTAAGATATTTTATAAATTTATAAAGTACTACCCAAATGTTCCTACATATCCTTCATAAATGAAATCATAGAAATCATTCAAACATGAGTGGGCGACCTCAACATGAGGCAAGGCCCTGTTCTCTGAGGTGTTCGAGTGGGACTGAGGTAGGTAACCATATCTGTTCTAGAGGTAATACAAACATTACAAGGGAAACTCTAGGGGCAGATTCACTGATGTTTCTATTCCCTTCCCATCCTGCGACTCTGATTTCCTGGGCTCTCCAGACTGGGAAATTCACACAAATCAGATCCTTATCTGAGGTAGGTGCCCATGCCACAGGTGAGAAGATGCAATAAGCATCAGAAGTCAAGAAAACTTTGTGATTACTTTCAGTTCACTGCTGGTTGGGATAAAAATACACAGGCAGAAACAGGTGGCTAAGTCAAAATGGACTGCCATGTATATACCCTCTATGTGCCAACCCACTCAGCAGCATGAAACCTACAGAGAGGAGAATGAGAAACATAGCCAGTGGGGGCCCAAAGGGGCCCCACCTGCCATGATAAACACACCCACGCTGGGGCCCTTGCACACTCAGACCCCAAGGTCTTCACCTGGCCTCACTCAGTGCCCAGTGGCTAGCCACTCGTTGGGGACGGTGGGAAGGAGATCTGGATTCCTCTCTCCTGGTCTTCTGAAAGTCATCCAGAGAATTAACAAGGCCAGATCCATTCTCATTCTTCTACATTTGGCCACACATAAGCCCTGAGCAACCAACAGGGAGGCCCAGGGAAGAGGTGCAAGGAAGCAGGAAATATGAGAACACTGCTATCCACCAAGACGTAGGACAAAACCGGTAAAGACATGAAACACCTGGCGTGGCAGGGGGAGGGGGGCACACCTGGGTGGCTCAGTCAGTTAAGTGTCCGACTTCAGCCCAGGTCATGATCTTGTAGTCTGTGACTTCAAGTCCCATGTCAGGCTCCATGCTGACAGCTCAGAGCCTGGAGCCTGCTTCGGATTCTGTGTCTCCCTCTCTCTCTGCCCTTCTCCCACTCACACTCTGTCTCTCTGTCTCTCTCTCAAAAATAAATAAAACATTAAAAAAATTTAAGAAAAATAACATCTGGCACAGGGAAAAATCACACACAGACCTGGGTACCTGTAGGGGGAAATCTGGAAGGAAATTCACAAAAACATCACAACACATAATCTTACAGTGGGGTGATGGAAGGGCCTTCCTTTCCTTTTGTTTAAATATATTTTTAAGTTTTTCTATAATAACGTGTCTCACTTGGAGAGTCCTAAAATCAGGAAACATTTTAAAAAATTAAAAAACAGTGATATCGCTAGCTTGTGCTGGGGTGTGAGAGGAGGCAGCTCACTGCGGGGTCCTTTAGGACCTACCCTTGCTATGCTGGGGTGGGGTGGGCTACAGCCATGCCTTCGGAGGAGCTGCCCCCATGAGTGCCCCTGACACAGTGATCATGGGGGGTTGGGCAGCTGGGCAGGGCTGCTCAGGGAGACCCCGATGCTGCACACCCCCTCCCTGGAGTCACCCTACTAACCTTCTCAAAGAGCCTGGAGACCAGGGCTGGACCAGGGACTGCTAACAAGGTTTCCTTCCCAAGTTCCCATATGGGGTGAGGAGAGGGAGGAAGGAGGAGGTGGGAAGTGGGGAGGCACCAGCCCAGAACTGCCTCCAGGTCTCTGTCCAGAGCACAGTGTGATGGAGGATGTGGGATGGGCGGTGGGCAGAGGGGGGTGGGGTGGGGAACAAACTGCCAGGCTCCAGTGGGGAGCTAATCACCTGTCTCAGAAATTCCACTGACGTGCTCCCCTTGTGCAGGGTTAGCAAGCAAGTCTGAACACTATTTAAAAGAAAACTAAACCTTATCCTTCCAAAAAGATAGGAGTATATTTTGAAACCAGAAAAGGTTAGAGAAGGGGGAGGGAAGCAGACAGATTTTATGCTCTGGTGACAAAAGAGATGGCTATTTGTTGAAACCTCCCAAAGCAGAGTGAGATGTGTCTGGCTGGAAGAGAGCACATGCTTATTATCAAATGAGAAAAGAAACCAGGGAAGTGAAGGCCCAGGTTAAGACAATGAATACACAAGAATGGGGAGTCACCTTCCCGGGCAGGGGCTGGAAATGAGTGATAGATGGGGACAGACATGTGGAAATGCTTCAAGAAACAAAAGATGCTATGCAAACATGGTGCTTCCGCTGTGTTTTATCTCCTGGGGACTGACAACAGAAGACAGAGATTCAACCGTTAGAATCTGACAGTTTGTTGTTTTTTGGTGGGGGAGGGTACAAAATTCATCCTCCTTTCCCATTCTGAAAATACACATTTTCAACCTCCGTATCTTCGGATAACTAATTATTTAACCTTTTGCCCCTCAGGGAATGATGTCAATGAAGACCCACCATGCTGGCAACTGGGGAAGGGGTAGAGGGCTCCAGCCAAAACTCAGGGGAGCTGCTGTTGCCCAGGGGCAAGCCTGGCCCTGCTACCTGTCACCTGCAGGAGCCTGGACAAGCTCTTTATGGCTTTGCACTGCTACCTTTTTCATTAAATAAGGCTAACAATAATGTCGTCCTTACAAGGCTGTTCTGAGGATTACATGAGAATCCATAGGAAGTCTTTAGAACAGGGTCAGTCACAAAGTAGAGCCCAAAAAATGTTAGCTGGTTATTATTCCAAGAATTATGCACAAAGAGCCATACATCGGCAGTGACTGGTAAGTGCCAGACTGATAACAGGTAGAGCCAGAGCAAGCAGGGTAAGTGCTCAGCTGGGGATGGCCCGAGGAGGCTGCCAGGAGAGGCGACCCCCTCCCCTGCTCCCGTGACGGGAAGGGGTGGGGGGGACAGACTCCCCATTCAACACACCAGTCAAGGTCATGCCCAAGCCACACGCCTAGTACAATGGGGGTCCAGGTGAGGGATACTTTGGGTTGTAAGGATCTATCACGTTACAAATAGGCACACAAGGTCGCCAAGAAGCAGCGTCTGTGGGGAGTGCACATGAATGGCAAAGCACTCTGCAAATCTAAGCTATGAGAGTATTTCCTAGCAGCTTCACAGCACCGAACACAGAATTATGTTTGAAATAAGTGTTCAGTTGACAATTCAATTTTCAGAGAGACCTGCAGTGGGGCCTCTCTCAAAACTGACATCCAAGGCGAGAAATACCCTTAGCCAGCAGATAGACAGTAAGGGGGAAACGCTATTTAAAATGCTGTCACCATGGCCACAGTCACACCAAGTCCTCCTGGCTCCCATATCCTAACCCCACAAAGACCCCATCTTCACCTAGAAGCAACCCAGAAACCACAGTGTGGCAGCACAAAGGGCCCTTTGCCTTCCTGCTTCTCTTCCCCAGCTCCAGCCACAGCCCTGTGACCAGGGACCACCCTGGGGAAGGGGTACCCTCCCTCCAGGCACACACCCCTGAGCCAACCGCCCCACTTACTTTTTCAGCCATTCCACAATGTCCTCAGCTGTGGACCCATAGTTGTCATACTGGAACAGAAACCGTCCTTTCCTGTGAAATGTGGACAGACAATGTCGGCTCAGCAAGGGATGCAAATGCCACCATGGAGGGGAGCGAGCGTCAGAAGGGAGGCAGGAGACTTACTCGAAATAGCAGATGGTGGGGTAGCCTCGCACATTATACTCCTCCTTGACGTTTTCAAATTCCGAGGGGTAGACGTTCATCCCAGCCAGCACCTAGGAGCAAAGGGAGAACAGGCCTATTGGCCCTCTGCCCCGCAGACAACATCCCCACCTTGCCAAGCACAGCTTATCTGTCTATCCCACCAGAAACAGATGAAGGGGACAAAGCCTCACAAACTGACGTGCAGCCCTGGGCAGCGGGGGGAGCATGGGAAGCTAATGCAGCTGGGAATGAGGGCTGAGAGCTCTGGAAGACATGGGGCCTGGGTCAGGTGGCACCCTCTGTACAGGCATTCCCTTTACTTGCCTGCAGGGTGGCTATCCCAGAGTGAAACCCAAGTTCTGAGGGCTGAGGAAGACAGGTGGCTTTGCCACCAAGTTCAAGCAGGTCCTAGAGTGGGGCTGCTGCCATCCAAAAAAACATTATGCCTCCTCCCTGCCCCTGTCAACTAAGGTTTCACTCCTCTCTTAAGTTACAGTCACTGCTCAGCCACCCCACAACATCCTCATGGCCTGTCCTCAGTCTGTCCACCCAGGCTTTGTGTGCAATGTTCTTGGACCTCACAGCTTGTACGTGGCCAGGGAGAGAGTGTGGCTCTTGTACAATCCATCTGCCTGACTCTCCTCCCTCCAGACTCCCAGATTCCCCACCTCTCTCCTCCTGTTTGTAAGCATCGCCTACAGCCTGATTGTACCATCTCCAAAGTTTGAACATTTTTTGGTTGCAGGGGTCCCCATATCCAACACTTCTAACTGGGAAAGGAGAATTTTAGTAGCTGTGTTACTGACAACAGGGCTAAATACTAAGAACAACCCAGAGTCCTCTAAAACTCCTTCCCTGAAGCAGTAATCTTTTCTAGGGCAGGATCAGGTGCCCGGAAAGGACTTTGAATCTGTTCTTCTAGGAGAATGAAGATAGAGTGGCCAGATACAGGAAGGCTGTTCCACAAAGCAGGGCAGCATGGAGGAAAAGGGAAAGGGACTTCAAAAAGCCAGGAGCAGTTATAGAGGCAGAGAGAAGAAACACGGGAAGCTCATTTTGCTTAACAATATAGAAGGAAACACAGGATGGGAGGGGGATGGGCTAAATGGGTAAGGGGCACTAAGGAATCTACTCCTGAAATCATTGTTGCACTAGATGCTAACTAACTTGGATGTAAATTAAAAAAATAAAATTAAAAAAACAAAGAAGGAAGCATAGGACAAGAAAAAGGACAATAGTCTCAGTGGACAAGAAACTTGATTCAGAAGACTGTGTCCACTTAAAATCATGTGGCCTTGGGCAAGTCACTTACCCTCACTGAGGCTCCTTGTGTGGAAGACATGGGCGATGGGAATATCACAGGGCTCTTAAGAGAACTGAACCAGGTGACCCAGGTCAAAGGTTCAGCACAGGACTGATGTTGAACAATCGTCAACTTCTTGACTTCCTACCAAATCCTCCTGGTGATGAAAGCCTCTGGCAGCACCATCCCTAGAGGCATCTAAACAAGTCTTTCTGGGGCGCCTGGGTGATTCAGTCTGTTGAGTGTCCAGCTCTTGATTTCGGCTCAGGACATGATCTCACGGTTGTGGGATCAAGCCCTGACTCGGGCTCTGCACTGAGCGTGGAGCCTACTTGGGATTCTCTCCCTCTCTCCCTCTGCACATGCATATATGTGTACTTGCACGCTCGCTCTCTCTCTCTCTCTCTCAATAAATAAAAAACATTAACCATGTCTTTCCAACTGTTTTAGGTACCTAGCACAATGCCTGGCATACAGTAGGCACACAATGTTTACTAAATCACCAATTTCCACACACCCCCCCCCCCAGCTCATTTGTGGGATGTTGCAAGGAATACAGGGAGAATTAGTCTGAAATAGAACTTACTAGAAGACCTGGAACCCTCTAAAAGCCATTCTGTTCATTTCCCCAGACTGATTCAGCAGCCTGTTCCAGTAATAATTGTCTACTTTAAAGTTCTTTTTTTATTCTAATTGATCTCCCTAGTGTCAGTGCACATCCACCATGAGATTAATCTTCCACATCCTCCTCTTTCATTACATCACTTCCCTGCACAAAACCTTTCAATTCCACTAAATATGAGCTAGAATCTAACTGCACGCTCAACGATCATACAGTCCCTATCTCATTTCTGAATTCTTCTTTCTTACAAAACCCTTAATTGTACACCTGCTAGAGTCTAGGTTTATGATTCTCCCAGGAATGGGAAAGTCTGAGATCTCTGCACAGGGAGGAAGTTGGACCGATCTCCGTCTAAGGCACCTTGCAGATGGGTAATATACCACAGTGGCCAGGAGCCTAGGCTCAGGCGTCATGATGTTGGGTCCAAACTCCTCACTTAGTAGACACATTTCTTTGAATAAGTCAGATGCCTCTGTGCCAGTTTCCTCATCTGTAACCACCTCTTATGACTGCTGTGAAGACTGAATGAGATAGTACAAGTAGAGTAACTACAGCACTCAGAACATGCTAGCTGTTTTCATCAATACTACGAAGCAGCTCTGAACTCTGCACATGCTGTGCTCCCCTGGCCCTGACATTTTGTCTTCTCGTCCCTCTGCTTAGGATGCCCACGTCCCATCTCTCAGTTACTACCGAAGACTTATTCATCCTGTAAGGCAAATCCAATCCCACCTTCCCGGACAGCCTTTCCAAACCACCTTTGCTTGTGATGAACTTTCAACTCTCTGGGTTTTTGTAGCACTCTTGTACCACTTGGGGGCATTTATTAATGAGATAAATATTTTTTGAACAACTACGTACACTTTTTGGAGTCTGGAAAGCCAACTGAGGCAAAACTGGCCTCGGCTTAAAAGTTACAGCCACAACACCTGACCCTGAGCCACATGTGCTGGTGCCGTTTGGTTAGCGCGACCCGTTCTGCCTCATGTTCAGCCCGTGTTCTGACAGGAACAATCATGGATGCTTCACAGAACAGACAACACATGAGCTGGTGCTCAAGGGAGAGTGAGATTTCCACAGACATTCCAGAAAGAGAACGTGGAAGCAAGACAAAACAAGATGCAGCCGAAGAGGTAAGGAATATATGCTGGTTTAACTGGACTGTAGGACACAGAACGGGGCAGGAAGAGAAGGCTGGACAGGTTCAGTGAACTCACTCTGGAAAAGGCTTTAGTGCCTAAGAAACCAGGACTTTGTTCAAGAGGTGCTGGAGGGTTTTCCAGCTGCATTCTTTTCTTTTTAAAAAAAAATATAAACAGGTCAAGCTGTAAGGGGTGAGTCGTGGGTCAGGGAGAGAAATCAGCAGCCTTTGGCAACCACTCTGTGTGGGCTAACCAGGGCCTGACCCAGGATGGGAGAGGACAGGGTGTGAGGAAGAGAGATGTGTGATGATGCCCTGGCAGACAAGCACGTTGTCAGCGGAGCCTGGGGTACTTGGGAAGAGTCATGAAAGAAAGCTGCCAGTCTGCTGGATGGAAAGGTACTGAATTTTATTTTAGACATTCTGCATTTGGGACACAGGGAGAAAAATCCAGACCAAGATGTCAAGCAGGGAATCTGATACATGATACTGGAGGTCAGGGACTCAGGCTCCATGGAGCTACATTTTGTTGAAATTATGGATGTAGATAAAATCACTGAGGGAGAGGCCATCACAACAAGGAAAGCACGGTGCCAAGCCCTTGGTCCTAATAAGAAAAGAAGCCGAAAAAGCAGAATCTTGGGAGCACCCTCATTTAGTGAGTGGGAGGAATGGGAAGTACAAATAGGAAGTGTGTCTATGAAGTGTCTGTAGCTCACAGAGCTGTTTCCACACACCAGCCACTTGCTCTTCACAACAACCTAGTGAGGTGGGCAGGGTTTGCGTTATCATCTCATTTTACAGAGAGGGAAACAGAGACTCCGAGCCTATTTGCCCAAGATCTCCTCGCCGGTTAGTAAGAGCCAGATCCAGAGTCTGATGTGCACAGGTCTATCACCAGGACCACCCCATGTCATGGTGTTTACATCTAGATGGCCCATCATGGCCAAGAGAAACAAAAGACTCAGCGTGGACCTCAGTAACTAGCAAAGCTGGGAAGAGGAAGCAGATGGGGACAGGCTCTCTCTGACAGCCGCTCTGAGACAGGGAGCAGCAATGGCTGCTGACGAGGATGGCAATTAGCAGGGATAGGTGGGATAGACACTGATGATTCACCAGACATTAATGACAACAAAAGAGAGGCAGAACTGAGTTTGGAAAATGGCAAAGGCTGAGCATCCCTGATCTGGCCTGGCTTACATCTTCATGACATCATCAAGTTGGACACCTCCCAAGAAATCTGTAGAGGAGGAAGGTTTCTGACCCTTGCCACATACATGGGCTAGCCAGAAAGGGTTCGTGGATGACAGAGATGAAGAGGAGACGAGGTGTCAGTTCAGCTAGGTCTCAGCAGTGGTGAGGGGTAGGCTTTAGATTTCCGGGGCAGCCCACCTCTGCCCTGCATGTGAGGACGGAAAGGAATCATGCTTCTAATCACCCTCTCTGGGGAGCTGTGGCTGCACCATGAGCCCTGGCCTCCAGAGGCCTCTCGTAGAAGGTGGTGTCTATGTAGCCAGACCTTTCCCTATTTATGGAGTGAGGAAAGGGTGAGAACTTTCAAAAGATGCTTTCCTAAGAAACAGAACAAAACATACCCCAAGCAAGAAAATACAGAAGGAAATGAATGTGTTCATACAACACAGATGCCTCAGGCCAAGGTAACTAACACCTGGCCAAAGCTGGGCTTGACCAGCCAGGCTCTCCAGGTACTCAGACGATCCCACTGAGTTTTCTGTAACGTTGTCTAGGGAACTGGGAGGGTCACTTTTTATATTTCTTGACCTGGGTGCAGGCAGGAAAGGCAGGCACTGCTGTTGTTGTTGTTTCCTTTTTTGGAACCAAGTACCCTTAACACAAATAATCTTCAGGGATAATCTTGAGAAAGAGCATAGTATGAGCCCAGGGCCAAGGGGCAAGCCCTCAGCTCACAAACATCCTTTCCACTCTGTCTCTGTCCTTAATAACTGATGCTCTGAATTCCTTCAAAAAGAGAAACATTTTTAATGTAAATACCGAGCTTAAAATAAAATGTGCTCAAGAGTGATAAGCCACACATTCATTCATTCACTTATCCGTATGTATGGGGTACCACAAGCTTGGCCCTGTGCTCTGTGTTGAAGAAACAGATGTGAACCAAACAGTGTCCCAGTGCTCAAGAAGCTCACACTACAGTGAGAAAATCATACTATAATTAGTAGCAACTGGTGAAGAAAGTGATCTGGAATACAAGCAAAGATGAGCAGACCTGGCCATGCACAGCAAGGACAAACTCTATGGGAGCATGGAAGGGACTGGAACACTGAGTTTGGCAGGTAGATGCAGCATTGGCTGGGAACCTTCCAGAAGGTGCACAAGAATAGCACCAAGACCTTACCTGCTTTGGTGGGGCTGGCCAGGTATTTGTGATGTGACTGGGGCTGGAGCTATTTAACTTCCACCGCACCACAGAGTTAGGAAGTTGAGTGGAGAAGTTTTCTAAGGGTATGCGAGTTATGAGTAGGGAGAACACTGGATAATTAAGTCTTTTCTCCAGGCGAAATAATCGTCATATATGCTACCTATTAAGGCCCCAAAATGCGAAGTGAAACTTCCCCCAAGTGATGTATGTGTGCCCCGAGGCCAAACATCTCCAGGTGAGTTGCTAAAAATTCATTAGTGATAAACAAGCAGGACCTTGGCGTTGCCCCAGAATGAGGTCAAAAGAGAAAGCACTGTTTCTTTACAACCCAGGCTTGTAGCGGGCTAGGCTAGCAGGGCTGTGTCACCATGCCCATGTAAACTTTTTAAATTGACTCTGAACTAATCACCAACTTCATTTGATCTGTAAAGATCATGATTCAGTTTTAAGAAATCAGAACTCCCTTAGTGGGACTTTGGCCAGCCCCACCATGGTGATGGCTCTCCTCCCCACAACCTTTCATGAAAAGCATATGGATTTTTCCATGCTCCCTAGAGGGGCCAACAGTTATTTTTCTGTTACCACCAACAAAAACAAAACCAAAAACCCTCGGTATTTGTGTGGCTCAGGGAATGCACAAAACTAGATAGACACGTGGCACAGAAGAGACAAGGCTGGCAGGTGGAGGCTGCCCAGAGATGACTGGGACCATCAGTGAGTGGTCCTCAGCCTGGTGAGGTCTGACTGTCCAGTCTCCCCTGCCCTTGCTGCACCATCCTGGTTGTTCTTCCTTCCTGAGGCTCGTTTCCTCAGGGGCTCCTCTTCCCCCTCCTGTCCCTGAAAGATGGGCACTCCTGACACAACCCTGCCTCCTGTCTGCTTCACCCCCACCCCCCCACACACACACTGCACACTCTCCTTCAGAGAGCGCCTGTGAGTTCGGGTGTCCGACTCCCCACCTGGACTGCCTCTTTCTGCTGTCGTTTCCACGGCTCCTCCAGCCCCACATAAAACATATCCCTGGTAAGCCTGGCAGGAAACTTTCCCGTGAATCTGCTTTGGGCCCACCACTGGTCACCATGCCCCTTTTGCCGCCAGTGGGCTGCCCAGCACTGGGAGCCTTGACCTGCTTTGGAGCCCAGCCCCAGTAATTCTGGAGCCCTGATGCTCTGCTGATGGCCCCTGGCCACCCAGCAATACCACCTGGGCTTCTTGCTGGTTTCCTGGTTATTTCATCACTGGCCTTGCTTGGACAAGCACTGAACTCTCCTGGTCCCAGCAACTCTGGGGAGTTCTTGCCATCCACCAAGAACAGGTCTGAGTCACATGCCCAGGGCAGCGGGAGGGTGACTCCTTGAGATTTGCAGACCTGCCCTCTTCCTGCACCCTAGGCCCCTTCCTCCCACCGCCTCTCCAGGTGAGAGGGAGAAGTCTGGGAGCTGGCCAGCCCTGCCAGGCCCATGGGCCTCACTCACAACGTGGCCTCGCAGCTGGGTCGCGGCCTTCTGGAAATGTGGCATTATCCTCTTGCACACGCTGCACCCTGGTCACAGATAGAAGAGAAACAAACTCGGTTATGGTGGGTGCTAGACCCCTATGCCCTGGCTTCCCTCCCCTCAGGCTAACCTCTGCCAGCAAACATTTATTCAGCCTGCAGGAGGGCAGGACTGCTGCTGACCCTGACGACACAGAAGGAACAGAGGCCCTGCCCTCCAAAGAGCTTACAATCTTGATAGTGTAGATCACGACACGGCCCGGCAGTCTCTCGATAAATGTGGGACTGACTAAGCAAATGTGACACAGCTGGAGAAGGTCAAAGTGTGGAATAGTTTAGGGCTGATCATGAGTTCAACAGGAATACAGGGAACCTGAACAGGTGACAGGAAAGCACAGTCAGGGACTGTAAATGAACCTGAATCAGATGCCATTAGGAAGAAAAATGTGCAACCACGGGTACAATGACTCTTGGGATTTCCATGCCCCTTTTCTTAATCAACAAGAATAACTGGGCAGTGAGTGGAGACGGGCTGGGTGTGAAATACTGACTCGGGCCTTGCAGGAGGCGCACCAGGCCAGGATTGGCACACCTGAGGGCCTGTTTTCCCTGGATGCACTGTGTGGTGGCCCTGGACATGGCTCTCTGGGTGATGGCTCGTTCTGGCAAATGAGGAAGGTTGGAGCAGACAACCTCAGGCCCCTTCCAGCTCTGACATCGAGGATTCTGTGATGTCTCTCGCTCAACCCTCTGTGGGGTTCTGTGGTCACTCTTCTCCTGGGATGATGAAGGCCCCCCAAGCCTTGGGGGACACAGGGCCAAGACAGCCAGGCCCCAAACATCCACTACTACTTCAGAGCGACCTTGCTTTAAAACCTCTCTGCCCACCCCGCCCCCGCATCGATCAGAGCAGGCCACATTTCCATAGTGATCCCACAGGACACATGTACCAGTTTCTTTAGACATAAGGAATTCAGACATGTCAGGCTGTTACTCTTTCTGACAGCCACTCTGCTGCAAAAAGGCTCTGAGATGCACTTGAAGGCTGTAGACACCAAAGCTGACCAGACCCCTGTGTCAGGCTGGATCTCATCTCAACATGACAGTGGGGACAGGGCCAAGCAGCAGTAGGTAGACAAGCTCTAATCCGTGTTTAGCTAACACCTTGGCAGACTGTGGGCAGAGTAATACAGATCAGAGAGGTGCTCTCACCCACGGGGCCAGATACAGACACTGGAGAACTGTGAGCAGGTCCAAGGTTCCACAGGAACCTCCCCAGCACAAGTCCGCTGGACCAAATGTGATGCAGGGGGTTTTGACATGGAACTCCCCAAATGCCCATGATCCTCCTGTGACATTCCTGCCCAGCAGACAGACGGACACACACTGTACACACACCAGCCTGGGCTTAGGTTCATGCCATTAGTTCAGGCTCAGACTCAGGGAGACTCAGGAGTGTGGGAGTGGTTGCAAGGACAGCCCGCAGCATCTGTCCTCAGAAGACAAGATGCACCTCTCTCCATCAGCTGCCACACACAGCCCCATCCCCACAAGTGTCATGAAGAAAAGAACGTGACATTTGTCAGGGGACACTGTTCCCATGGTGGGACACTCACAGAGGAGGGAAACAGGGACAACAAGGCCGACCCGGCCAGGTGCCCATGCTCCATGGTGGATGACACACAGCAGGGACAACGGGGGGCACACAGCAAACAAGATGCTCAGCTCTGGGGAGCATGAGACCCAGGTCTCCCCTTGACTGTCTGCTGCCTGTGCTAAGACTGAGCGAGTAGTCTGAGCCTCAGCTTTCCCATCTATGGAGTGGACACAGAGTCTCCCCTGGAGGCTGAGGGGCAGAGCCAACACTTGGGAGGACAGAGCCGGACGCTCAGCAAGGAAGGCACTGTCAATACAAGACCTGAGTGTCTACACCTGCTAGGTCTGCAGTGGGGGAACACTCCACAGGGGACAGAGGATGTCACTCCCAGGAGGGAAAGTAAGTCGGGGGCAGGGGAGAGTGCACTTGGAGTTCATCTACTCTTTATTCAGTGGCTTGATGAGATGGTGGGAGTCTGACGCCCACTGGGCCACACCAGTCAGGGGCTTAATTTATGAACTACTCCCACAGGGGTGGCGTCTCTTTTCCAGCTCTGCCCGTCTGCAGCCTGCAGCAACATTACCCTCATGTCCCCCCCAAATCCCCATGGGTGGAGCCCAGCAGCTCTGGGAGAAGAAGTTAGTGAGGTGAAGAGGTGATGGAAGAGTAATAGGAAGCTACAGGCCAAGCCAGTTTCCAATTTAACTTGACCAAAAATAGAGCTGGTACCATGATCCCTATCTGAATCTCTTTCAATGGATTCAACCAGGAGGCACAGGAAGAGATAAGACTAATTGTCACTCTCAAACCCTGAAAGTTAGAGTGGTCACCCTTTTATTTTCTCACTAATTCTGTCAACATTGACTGAATAAACAATAGGTCCCAGGGATCCAGATTCCTTGTCACAAGTAAAGCCTCCCACTGCCTTTGGGTTCATTCACCCCGAACATGATCAAAGGATCAGAGTCCTAAAAGACTTCCCAGTTAGGGAACTGGTGTGTTTCCAGGAATAAGCTGAATTATGAGGCCATGAAGGCTTGAGTGGACTAGTATAATAAAAAGCACACGTCTGTTTCAACAAAAACAACAACAAAAGAGTCCTGAGGTTACCTGGGACCCAGGAGGCCATCCAGTCTGACCCCTTCACAAATTTGAACTTAACGGCTCCAAGTTTTCATCCTCCTTCTCGACTATTAACTGCTCTGTGACACCAACAAGGGACCTAACTTCTATCCCACTTTCCATTATATAAAGGTAATAACTATGCATGCCTCTCTGCCTGCTATGGGGAGGAGGATGGGCACCCTCCCAGACAGCCTGGGAAAGGGGTGGGGGAGATGGCACACACATTCCAGCGCAAACTGCTAGGGAACCACCTTTGTAAGTGATGGACTAGTGTCATTTTAATGAAACCCACACGACTATACCATGATCCTGCCTGTGACACGAACTATATACAGACATATACTTGGTTTTAATCTCATCTAGCCCATACATTGAATCCTGAAAGGTTCTGAGATAAACCAAAGGGGGCCTTCTCCTCAAGGGGCTGGGTAGGCAGGACAATTCCTGAAGCAACTCACAGCTAAGCAGTTAATAAGATCCCTCCAAGGAGAAACAAAAAGGCGTGAAACCAACCAGTGAACATTAAAGAAGAGAATGACCCAAGGTTAAAGTGCATGACCATTCTGAGCAAAGCCTGATCTAACTAGAAGTAGGACACCAGGGCCTCCTTTCTATAGGCAGGCACACCCTTAAGGCCAGCAAGGTATCTGAGAGGAGGCTGGGTTAGGGGGATACCCAGCAATCAACAGGGGCTGGGGACAGGCTATTGTTATGGTGAACTAACCACAGAACCACCAGAACCTCATAAAAGGGCAGCCATCTTGGGAGGCATGATCATTCAGGTGGAAATGGGAGGGGTCTTTGTCCAAAGAACTTCTCAAGAAAAGGGATTCAAGGCAGGCTTACAAGAGTAAATAGAACTGAAATGAGAATTTACAACTCACATCATAGAAATACAAAGGATCCTAAGAGACTAGTATGGACAATTAGTCACCAAAAAAAATTGGATAATTTAGAAGAAATATGCAAATTCCTAGAAACATATAATCTTCTAGGACTAAATCAGTAAGAAACAGAAAACCTGAATAGACCAATTACTAGCAATGAGATTGAATCGGTAATCAAAAACCTGCCAAAAACAAAAGTCCAGGACCAGACAGCTTCACTGATAAATTCTTTCAAACATTCAAAGATTCAATATCTATTCTCCTCTAACTCTTTCAAAACACTGAAAAGGAGGGGAATACCTCCAAATACATTTTATGAGGCCAGTTACTCTGATACCAAAACCAGACAAGAACACCACAAAAAGAGAAAATTATAGGCCAATATCCTTGATGAACATAGACGTGAAAATCCTCATCAAAATATTGGCAAACCAAATTCAACAATACATTAAAAGGATCATTCAACACAATCAAGTGAGCCAACAGACACATGAAAAGATGTTCAACATCACTCATCAGGGAAATGCAAATCAAAACCACAATGATATATCATTGTGTGCCACGCCTGTCAGAAGGGATTTTATGTACACTGTTGGTGGGAACGTACGTTGGTACAACTACTATGAAAACAGTATGGAGATTCCTTAAAAAATTAAGAATACAACTCCCATATGATCCAGCTGTTCCACTACTAGAACAGTATTTATCTGAAGAATATAAAAACATTAATTTGAAAAGATACATGCACTCTATGTTTATTGCAGGATTATTTACAATAACCAATATATGGAAACAACCTATATGTCCATCAGTGGATGAATGGATAATGAGCTGTGGTATGTATAGTATATATACGTGTGTATATATACATATATATATATATATATATATATATGTATATATACACATACACATATATACACAACAGAATTACTACTCAGCCATAAAAAATAATGAACTCTTGCCCCCTGCAACAACAAGGATGGACGCTGAGGGCATTATGCTAGTGAAATAAGTCAGAAGGAGAAAGACAAAAACCTTATCATTTTACTTCCATGTGAAATCTAAAAACTAAACTAAACAAAACACAACAAAAACAAACTCATAGTTCAGTGGTTACCAGAGGGGAAAGGGGCCTGGGGTGTGTGAAGGAAGTCCACTGTGGGGTGATGGATGATAGCCACTGATACTCCTCCAAGCCACGGACAGGCCAGGGCACACCTACATCCCACCACACATGGCCCCTCTCTCTCCAGTCTTTAGTTTTCTGAAGGGCATTATGCAGATCACAGAGCCACAGCTCTAGGGGCCTTACATAGGCTGTATTCCAGGGTTTTTCAATCTGTGGGTTGGGACCTGTTAGACTCCAGGGTGGCCCAGGCAGAATATTTGAGGCTTTGTAGAACATACTATCAACTAATTAACTCTGCTTAGCTTTTGAAAGCAGCCACAATCTATAAACAAATGAATATGTCTATTCCAACAAAAATTAACTTACCAAAAAAGATGGACAGCCCACGGGCCATAGTTTGCAGACCCTCTATTAGAGGGTTATAGGAAAAACCAGTAACTTCTGAATAAAACAAAATAGACTGGGGTGCATGGGTAGCTCAGTTGGTTAAAGCATCCGACTTCAGCTCAGGTCATGATCTTATGGCTTATGAGTTTGGGCCCCGCATTGGTCTCTGTGCTGACAGCTAGGAGTCTGGAGCCTGCTTCAGGTTCTGTTTCCCTCTCTCTCTGCCCCTCCCCGGCTTGTGCTCTGTCTCTCTCTCAAATATAAACAAACAAACATACATACATAAAACAAAATAGAAAAACGAAATAGTGCATACTACATCTGGCAGAGTAGATGGCAAGTAGTAAGGGTAAAGTATGGTTTTGTAAAACTGTTGTTTCAGCTTATTTACTTAGTCAACTTATTTACTATAAGTATATATAAGTTACATGTATACTTATAGCACCAGGTTGCCATGAAAAGTATTTTTAAATTAATACTAGGAAATACAGTCAAAAAGTCTAAGAGCCACTGCTCTGATACACTCTCTTTTCATATAGAAATGGAAACTGAGGGGGGTGGGGGCACCTGAGTAGCTCAGTTGGTTAAGCATCCGATTTTGGCTCAGGTCATGATCTCATGGCTCCTGAGTTCGAGCCCCATGTCGGGCTCTGTGCTGACAGCTTGGAGCCTGGTATCTGCTTCAGATTCTGTGTCTCTCTCTCTGCCTCTTCCCTGCTCACGCTCTCTCTCCTCCTCAAAAATAAGTAAATATTAAAAAAATTTTTTTAAAAGCAATGGAAACTGAGGGGCAGAGACGTGAAGGATTTGAAGATGAAGGATTTGAAGGCAAAGGATTTGACCAAGGTCACCCAGCTCGATTGTTGGCATAGCTGGAATTAGAACCTGGGTCTTCTGGTTGTCATCTCAATGATCTTTCTGCTGTTCCTATGGCTTTGTGCCTCATCTAAAGAATGAACCAAAATATGAGGCCCTTTTCTCCCTGGTCCTGATTCCCCCACACCTCCCAGGTGACACCAGCAGAGGTGTGCAGGAGCCAGAGCTGGGCAAATGGCTGCCTTGGGGGGCTGGCCAGGCTCTGGCTGGTGAGCAGCAGTGGACCTAGAGGGTGAGGCATGGCTCCATCGGCACATAGCTCCACCAGGCACACAGCTGGTGGGAAAGGAATACCTGGAGAGACCTGTGTTGTTGCTAGGTAGAGCTTGGGGCAAGGAGGGCAGAAGGATGCAGATTCTAGTGACAGAAAAACTGATGTGGACAGTAGGAGGGGAGGAGCCAAATGAAAAGGCAAAGAGGCAGACGGAGAGATGGGGTGAGGGACGCACTTCACATTCTAAGAGAGTTGGGGCTAGTTCCCAGTCCCCCGCCTCCCAACCCCCAGCTGCCCCTCCAAGAGGCTGAACAATGAACTCTGGCCCAAAGGAGAAAGGTCACTCACAGGGGGCATAAAACATCATCAGGAGGGGCTTCTCTTCCTTCTTCAGGAGCCGTCTGAAGTCCTGAGGCACAAAGAGAGAACACGGCAGGTCACACACACAATAACACAACAGGGAGGCGACATGCCCCTGGCTCTGGAGGGTGGGGGCACCACCATGGTGGAAGGAGCTGTCCAGCATTTCAGATGTCCCATGGTCTGACGTGGGGTTTGGGGCATGCAGCCAGAGTTTCAGCCTGTCAGAAGCTGGACGATCGAGACAATCTGTACTACCCCTGCATATTACAGATGAGGAAACTGAGGCCCCAAGGGGGCACATGGCTTTCCCAAGGCCACCTGGTATGATGAAGTAGTCAGGACCAGGCTGCCAGCTTTACCTGCAGCTCCACCTGAACGATTAAAAACCTGCAAGGAACTATTTATGTCCTGTGAGGCTCAACCAGCCTGCCCCCTCAAGTGATTTATGGAGTGGTTGTGTTGTAGGGGGTTGGTTGTTTTCACGTGGCCCAACTTGGCTAGACGGAGATCTGCTGGTTAAGGTCACACAGGGCTAACCCAAACCCACTGTCTCTTTCCCCAGCCCTACCGCCACCGTCCATGTGCCCAGGAGCCCATTGTGTGCACAGGAACACACAGATGAGACATGCCCTCCTGCCCCCATGGGGTACAGATCATCTGTATTTGTAAAACCCTCCAAACAGTGCCTGGCACGTTATTATGCAATACATAATTATTTGTTAAATAAATACAATAAATGCAAAAAAAAGACATTTTTATATTTCACAACAGTGCTAATGGAGAGACTTCAGTGTAAAGCAGGGTCAAAGACCTTTCTTCCAACGAAAGTCAACGATGTTCCGGAAAAAGCAAATCTATCAAGGACTGCAGAGAAACGCAATGACAAAGCATGTTTTGATTAAAATAATTTGCTTCTCTAACCAGTTTCCATAGAAGAAAATTAGAGGTTTTTCTCTTTTGAATAATAAGGAAAGTAAAAGGAGGTTGTGAAATGCAGCTTTCTGGCAGCAACAAGGCATTAGGTAAATAGATGAGGGTACATCCTGCTCTATGGAATACTACTGCATCATTAAAAACGATGAAGAGGAATATTTAATGTCACAATAAGATATGCCTGTTACGTTAAGTGGAGGGAAGAAAGCAAGTTAGAAAGCAGCATATAAAATGTAATGACACTTCTGTGAGTAAAAATATGTATGCATTATGTTGAAAGCCTGGAAGGCTACAGAAAATACCAGCAGTGGGTACTTCTCAATGGGAAGGGATAAAGTAACTTGTTTTTCTTTTTAAACTTAAGCTGTATTTTCTAAATTTTCAACAATGAATATGCATTGCTTATAATTTTTCAGTTAGATAAAAAATATTACAAATATTTTGTAGGAATTTAAAACATTTTATAATAAATTCTGAAAATGTTCACCCTTGTTTACATAACTAGAATTATATAATTTTACAAAACAGAATTAGCAACTAAGATCTTTGACCCTGACTATGGGTAGAAAATGCAAACGCTTTGAAAATGATCTTCTGAAATCCCTGGAGAAAAAACCTGGAGATCTGAGAAGAAAAGGGTTTTCTGAGCCTATAGCCATTTGGTTTCATACCCTGGGTAGTAACAATCATTACATTACATTCAAAGATGCTTAATTACCTTCAACAGTGCAGAATACTAACCTCACAAATACAATTGGCAATTAACTTGAATTGGGAACTTTTAGTTATTTTATGTGGAGATTCTATCAGCAGAAAGGCAGCTGTACCTTAAACTTCTACAGAAGAGAAAACAGCACCAAGTATAACAAGAGGATTGCCTACAGGTGTGAAAACATTTTTTTTCTCCTTAATATTTCTAGTTACAGAAGAGCGATCTTAGGAGTTTCAGGACATGATCATCTCAGGGGAAGGAGACAGCAGGCAATCACTTTCCAGAAAGGCTAGAAACATGCATTATCACAAAATCTTCCCACGAGCAACAGTGAGTTTAGGCTGCTTGTTTTCCTCATAACTACGGGCACAGATGCCACCACCTCCTGACATTTGCCCCTCTTCCCCTGCCAGCAACATACTTGTTACCTTCTGATGATACTGGCATTTTCTATCCCAGAGAAATGCTGATGGCCAGCCCCTTAATTCAAATTGCCCAGCCCGTAACGATCACACATGATCCCTCCTCCAGAAAGTATAAATGGCATCCTTTTCTTCTGGATTAACAAGCATTAAGGGTCAATAATTTTAAATGAAAAGGGAGGGGAGGCAGAGGAATATAAAAAGTACATTTCAAGGGCGCCTGGGTGGCGCAGTCGGTTAAGCGTCTGACTTCAGCCAGGTCACGATCTCGCGGTCCGTGAGTTCGAGCCCCGCGTCGGGCTCTGGGCTGATGGCTCAGAGCCTGGAGCCTGTTTCCGATTCTGTGTCTCCCTCTCTCTCTGCCCCTCCCCCGTTCATGCTCTGTCTCTCTCTGTCCCAAAAATAAATAAATGTTGAAAAAAAAAATTTTTTTTAAAGTACATTTCATGTTATCAAGATAAGAACAAACATTCTCCAGTTCCTATCACAAAAACAAATGACAAGTGTTAGCGAGGATGCACTCTTGGTGGAAATATAAACTGGTGCAGTCACTATGCAAAGAGTATGGAGGTTCACCCAAAAATTGAGAGTAGAAATCCCATATGACCCAGTAATTCCCACTAGCGGGTATTTACCCAAAGAAAATAAAAACACTAACTTGAAAAGATATACATGTCCCTATGTTTACTGCAGCATTATTTACAACAGCCAAGATACAGAAGCAACCCAAGTGTTCATCAACTGATAAATGGATAAAGAAGACATGGTATGTATGTATGTGTATATATATGTGTGTGTGTATATATACATACATATATACATATATACACACACACACACACACAACAAACAATGGAATATTACTCAGCCATAAAAAAAGAGATCTTACCATCTGCAGCAACATGGATGGATCTAGAGGGTAATGCTAAGTGAAATAATTCAGAGAAAGACAAATACCATATGATTTCACTTATATGTGGAATCTGAGAAACAAAACAAACGAACAAAACCAAACAAATAAAAACAGACTGATAAAACCAGAGAAAAATCTGGTGGTTGCCAGAGAGAAGGGAGTGGGGGCATAAGTGAAATAGGTGAAGGGGATTAAGAGGTATAAACGTCCAGAAGCACCTGGGTGGCTCAGTCAATTTAGTGTCCGACTTCATCTCAGGTCAGGATCTCACGGTCTGTGGGTTCCAGCCCCACATTGAGCTCTGTGCTGACACCTCAGAGCATGGAGCCTGCTTTGGATTCCGTGTCTCCCTCTTTCTCTGCCCCTCTCCTGCTTGCATTCTCTCTCTCTCTCTCTCAAAAATAATTAAACATTAAAAAAAATTTTTTTTAAAGAGATATAAATGTCTAATTATAAGAGAAATAAGTCACAGAGATGAAAAGTACAACAAAGGGAACAGAGTCAGTAATACTGCCATAACTTTGTATCATGACAGATGGTAACCACACTTCTCATGGTGAGCACTCTGTAATATGTAGAACTGTCGAATCACTATGTTATAGATCTGAAACTAATATAGCACTGTATGTCAACAGTATTTCATAGATTTTTAAAAAAAGGACATTCTCCTTCCATCTACAAAATAGCACTGCCTGCCTCACAGACCATCTGGAATATAACAAAGACGTTCTTGCCCATCCTTAGGTGAAGACACAGCCAAACAAATGAGGTACGCACGTGTCACAATACATGGATAAAGATGCACATTCAGGTCGGGTGGGGCAGGCTTAGAAAGGAGGGTCAGGTTGTATGGAGACTATAAATCAGAACCACTGTTCTACTCCCTAACTCCCTAGCCCAGCCAAATCCAGAAATTAAAACTTAAGAGGGTAAATAATTTGCTCAAATTTACATGACTTAGAATTATAGAGATCTGACCCAAGTCTCTGGAACTCCAACCCAAACCTCTGAGATTATTCTTAAAGAAAACAAAAAAACAAAACTTACTTTTAAACACACACACACACACACACAGCCAATCCCAGCAATGACTGGGTTACATAATAAGGAAAGGCTTTTTAAATGGATATTTCTCTGAGAAAAATCTAAACACATTAAAATACATTAAATAAGGCAGTGAAGAATGGGAGGTCTCAGGCAAGGTCTCAGGCAGCCAGTCTGTGATCTCCTGTGGGTTCCGTCATGGAGCTGGGAAGGAGAACAAATATTAGGGGCCTAGGGGCCCGGCTCCCTTGGAGAAAAGTACAACTGGTCTCTGAAAAGTCCCATTCCTCATTTCTTTGGGCATCCCTCCTAGGGAGACCCTGGTTGGGGGAAGCTTCCAGTGTCCACCAGAATCGATGCAAAATAAGTTACCTTTTCACTGTCAATGTGGACAACATCTTTGGCTCCAGGATCTTCCTCCCACAGTGGAGGCCCTTTTGGATCCTTCAGAAAGGCCACTATAGACTGAGGAAAAGAACAAAGAAGGGAAAAGTCGTTTTAGCCAGGAAAAGAGGGAGGTGGGGAAATCAGGAACCTGCCCCATCTCTCTGCCCAGAGACCCACGTGCCTGGAGAGGGTCTGCATGTCGCACGTGGGCAACCCCGTGGGGGGCAGGGGTGCCATTCCACTGCCCACTGACTTCACTGCTGAGGGCCCTAAAAATGCACCCCCACCGCCTCCACCCAAATTTTTCAGCCACGTGACACCTTAATCTGGTCAGCTGATCCATACCTACTGTGCTTCTTCATGGACATCAAAGAGGAGATTTGAGACAATTCATTGGCTTATTCAAACCAGAGACAGGCTCATGCTTCTAAGTCTCATCTCCTCCAGGAAGCCTTTCTGATCAATTTGAATAAAGGTCTCCAGTCCTGTCCAAGGATTCCACATTCGTGCAGCCTCCAAAACTGCTGACCACACAAGCAGGTAAGCACACCTAATTGCCACCTGCTCAATATTTTGTGATCTAAACTGGTTTGAGAGTGCGTTAAATCTTGATCATCCTCTGAGGAGCTCAAGCCGGGAAGCCCCCAGGGGCAGGGTGCTCATCTCTGTGACTGCCTACTTGCCTGAATACCCTCCCTCTACATGCCCAGGATGAAGATCTGACAAGGACCTTCAGGATAAAGGACTTACCTAGCCTTTGTCATGTGGACAACTGACTCAAATCTCACTCCCTCTGGGAAAGACACAATCTTCCCATGTGGAGGCCGCTGTCCCTCTACTGCCCTCTATCCCTGCCACACCTCACTGGTCCAGGACAGAAGCAGCCTTCCCTCAGACAGCCACTCTGGGAAATGGTGCTCAAAGTCTATGAGAGCCAGGAACGAATACCAGAAACCAGCCAACCTCCATCCCTTCAACCCTGGAGGGGAGTTGCTGGCTTCCATGCCAACAGACAGAGCCTTCAGCGTCCCCAATTTGATGCAAGATTTTGTGACTTCTGTCCACTTCGATCAAGTCTCAAAGAGCAGATGACAACCTGAATGTGTCCACAAGTGTGGTGGGAGGGAGGAGGGCTGAGGTGAGAAAAGGAAACACGTTCTTAGGGAGGCTGTGCATTCAGCCATCCACTGGTCACGCACACAGGACCTCCGTGAGCTTATTATTTGGGAAGAGCTACTATGGAAAAATGGGAGACAGCTAAGATTTCGTAGAATTTCATTCAGGTAATGCTCCCTTGCTGTTCCAAATGGGGCTGTGAAACGCCTTCTGGCAAGAAGAGAGGGCCATTTCCACATGGCAAAGGCAGGTCTGCCTCCTCTGTCCCTGTCAAAGCTTCCCTGTGACAGTATAAGCCAGAATGGAACTGGAGGGCCTCCTGAAACCCATATTCACCCACAGCTGCACAGGCGCCTGCCCACCTGGGCCATGTGAGAAAGATGCTTACAGCTGCCCACCTGTTTCAGAAAATGCCTGGTGCAGGGGTTCTCAATCTAGGGTACACGGGCAGCCTTCAGGGGTCTGTGAAACCCCAGCCTCACATGAAAGCATCACTCTTCATGTTACTTTACTTAACATTTACATTTACTCACACGACAACATTTTACATTTACTTCATGCAAACACACTGTTTCTAGGGAGAAGATCCATGCCTTTTCAGTGGGACAAGGAACCCAAAATCGGTTAGGAACTATTGCTCTCAGGGGCCTCCTGTCCACGCACCAGCACAAGCAGAGTTAAAGGGTTAGCACCATCTCCCATTCCCCGACTCCCACCCCTGCCTCAGCATCAAGGAGAAAAGACAAAAGTGGATGCAAAGAGGAAAGGAGCCACCTCTTCTAACGTAAGAACTGAAATAATCATACTAGCAATCTTTTGCTTTTCAGGTGGAGATTATTCTTGTTTAACTGAAGTTGAGTGATTCCATCCATAGGTTCTCTCCAAAGCACTGTAACCGATGAGATCTTGGGTGGAAAAATCTGCAGGGAGCCGCATGGGGAACACCCCACTCCCTCAGCCATCCTGTCCTGGGTGCTCTGAATGCCAGGGAAATGGCCCCACACCCACACCTTGGTTTTCAGGACATCTTCACGTCTGGGAAACCACACTCATAGCTACATGGTCTTGGGAGAAGGTTGTCAGAGGGTCATCTGAATCCTGGCTTCCAGGCATCTCCAGTCCTCACCACTGACACATAATAAGGAGTTTGCAGGACAGACTGCTGACCAGCAAAAGGCCACTTATACAGGAAGTTCCCCTCTTTGAGCTTCCTGCTCTTTACCCTCACTTGTCTGGTCTCTGGCTTCTTTAGGGGCCACAGCGTGGTGCCTGTGACTGGGCCCCCCCAGAACCACACAGGACGACAACAACAATAGCCAGAGCATGAACCTGCAACTGGGCACCCAACCCTGGCAGGGACTCCTCTGTCTCTCTGGAGATGGAGGCCCAGGAGGAAACTTGAGAAGAAAACCAACCTGTGACCAAGGAGGGCACTGGTCTCAGCTGCTCCTGCTCAATGATGAACAGAAGCCATCAGGCAGTTATGGGAAACAATATGCTGCTTACCCTTGCCCTGAGAACTCCAGGGACCCTACCCCAGTCCCTGATGACCCTGTGGGCTTTGGGGAACCCTTGAACTAAGGATGCCCTCTCTCCACTAAAGACTCTGACCCTGTCCAACGCTCAGCCTGCTTCTCCAACTTATTGATGCAGAAATCCTAGGAAGGATGAAGAGTGAGCAAATGCCACACACCTGGTCTTTGTAAGGGGTGGACAGAGGCCAGGACTCAGCCTCCCGACCTAGGCAAGCTCAGACCACTTGGGCTCCTTGCTCCTTCCTAGCTACTACAGTTCTGAGCAGCTGCTATTTCCTGCTCCATGATCCCAGGACAGACTGCTCAGAGGGAGCCGCTAAATGTAAACTGAACACAGCCTCCAAAGACAAAACTAAAAGCCCCCGGCACCCCCTTCCATCACTGCATAGCACTTCCCCTGCCCTGCCCGGCTACACATTGTTCCTGGGGAGTGCGTGTTCTCTCTGAGGGCTTCGGCTGACATCTTAACACAGAACAAGAGGTTAAGAAACTCTAGGTGGTAGAATTTTCTCTAAGTGTCTAAGTGGGTGTTAAGATGAGTAATCAGGCTGAATCTGTATAAGGTAAAGCTATAGCAACTTAAAAAAGAACGAGTGCTGGTAGATAAGCAAGAAGTGACCAGGCAGCCGAGGAAGAGCGGTAGAGGAGTGGGACACTGACAGCTGCACGGATGGATGAACAGGAAAGAATGGAAGGAGATGGAGAAAGAGAGACAGAAAGAGGAGCGCAAAGCAGGAGAGTCTGAAAAAATAAGTTCAGTCTATGTTGAGAACAGAAGAAATACATGGCCCCAGACAGGGCAGAGGCATGCCGCCCGGACCAGAGATAGGAGAAGACTTGTCTGAGGAAGAGAATGGGTAGCTGAAGGAGGAGAATCCAAAGGCAATCGAAGGACTCAGGGTGCTGGGTCAAAGACCTTCCACACCCATTTTCACTGATGCTTTTCCATCCACTGCTAAATCGGACTTGTAGCAGGGGAATGACTCAGTGACATCGGCGTGTCATCTGAAATGAAGTGCATCAGCCAACAGGTGCCAACCTGCCCGTGTCCTGCACCCTGTGCTAAGTGCCCCACAGACTCTGGATAGCCAGTATGGACACTACCGTGGAGATGAAGGAGCGCTTCAAGCCACAGCAAAAGGAAACCCAGGCCTCTGGAGGAGAGAGGCGTAACGTCACATGTCTCACCCACATGCCTCTGCTGATAGATTCACACACTTATCTACAAGGCTGGCCATCCCCATTGTGCTAACGGTTACAAACTTTTCCAGATATTCTGCTGACATGTGCTCTAGAGATAAGAATCCCTCAGGTCATTTGAAAGAGCTATCTGTGCAATCTGCCCTTCCTTCTCTCAGAGAAAACTGCCAGGCTTTTGGCATCTGTTCAGACTCTACCTCTGCTGAGAATGAGGGAGGTAAATTTACCTTAAATGTCACAGCTCGGTTATATTCAGTATGAAATGCACCGTCCCTGTCGAATGAGGAGAAAAAGGTGTTAACTTTAAGAATGGTTATGAAGATACATACCTTTGGTTTCCTGCAGCATCTTAATAACATTCAGCTATTGAACACAGTTCAAGATTTTTTTTAAAAAAAGAACTGTAAACACAGAAGAAAAACACTGAAATAAAATTAACCTAACTCAAAACTGTTCACTGGGAATACCAATGAAAGCTTTCTAGCACTTACTTGGAAATTGGAAATGCCCACATGTACTTACTGGTAATGGAATAATTCAACCTTTTTGTCCTTTGGGCTCAGGTCAACTTTCATCTTCTTGCACAATTTTCTACTCTCAGCATCACTGAAAAGACACAAATGTCCAAAGCCATTTGTTACCTGAGGTCCTCACAAAGGTGTTGACAGAGTAAAATCTGCTCGTGGCCTAAAAAAAGCCTGGTACCTTGAAATTCTCAATAGCAGGGAAGGCCCTGACTATAGGTGGGCTCTCAGAGAACTGGAGGAAGCAGAGTAACCAAAAGGATATGGGCTGATCAAGAAAGACAGAGATAAGCAGAGGGGCAACATGGACAGCTCTGGACAAAGCAAGTCCCCAGGAGTACAGCCCATTCTAAGAAGAAAAACCAACTACAGTACAGATCTGTGGCTCCCAGTCCTGGCTGCTCATCAGCACCACCTGGGAAATTTAAAAGAATACAGATTAACGTGGCCCTTCCCAGACCATTACTTCAGACTCTCTGCCTTAGGCCCAAGCAAGTTTTTGTTTTTAAGCTCAAATGTGTACCATATCCCACCTACTATATACCATCTGACCAGGATAAGAGGAGAATGTCCTACAAGGCTGAAGAAGTTACGAAATCTGAGCAGGTACTGACAGAAGCCACAGGGAGAGAGGAGAACGCTTCAGCGAGGTGCAGCTCCTGCAATATCACACTCTCACACTTCTTCTGATAAGAAACGTCTGTCTGGTGCCACTCAGCGTTTACAGAGTGCTCATGCCTGATCTCATCTCCGGTTTCCTTCCTGTGAGATCAACGGACCTCAAAATGTGGTCCTTGGACCAGCGGCATCAGCACCACCCAGGAACCTGTTAGAAATGCAAATTCTCGGCCCCATCCCAAATCTGCTGAATCAAAACTCTGCGGGTACTTGAGCAACTATGTCTTAAGGAGCCTTCCAGGTGATCCTGATGCATACCACTGTCCTCTTCTGGCTCTTCCTCCTTTCCCTCATCTTTCCAAAGTTTGGCCTCCCCTATGACTCCCACCAGCCCCTCAGAGACCCCATCTGTCTCATAGCTTTCCCCATAACCTCACCATACTCAGCCAAGTCTGCCCAATGGCCAGCCAAAGGCAGCCAGCTACCCCACCCATGCAGGGCCCTCTCTCCAGAGCCACATGGACTTAGTGAGGGTATCTTGACTACCCAAGTCCACTGGTTCCCACTGACCACACTGCATGAGAAACTTTGTTCTGCCAGGTATGACAGCCACCTGAGGGAAGTCCCTTCATCTCTCACCTGTTTACATACCTCACTACCTTCTACAGCCATCAGCTTCACACAGCTGTGCACCAGCCCCAATACAGATAGACTAATTCAACCATTCAGCTCAATTCTAAAAGCAACATTCATCAATGGACAAGCAAAAATGTGGGACCTCATTTTAAGTGTAGAACACACTTTGCAATTCAAGAAGCATGTCTTACTAGAGAGATGTGTGTAGGTCAGAGAGGGGGCCGCCCTCCTGCCCCCACCCCAACCCAGGCCCAGGCTTTTCCCTCCCTATTTAGTCTTGCCTGTGGTAGTCAACACCACAGCCACTGACCTGGTAAACAGTGGGGACTCAAAAGAAATGCATGATAAATTCCAAAAGGAAAGGCTAATGACAATACAGTGGCTGCTCCCCCAAGGTGGCAAGGGCATTTAGAGACCGGGAATCCAGAGAGAAGGTAGATAAGCAGAGATGGGGAGGAGATCCAGATGGGCTGAGGGTATACATCAGAAAGCTCCTGGAAGGGCAGCCCATGGAATCCAGTTGCTAGAAACTCGTCCCCTAAAGCCCCGTGGGGATGCCATACACGCCTCCAAGTGACAAGGGCTATTACAGTTTGGGTTTGCCCTGCCCACAGGGGCTCTGTGGTGAAGCCCTTCTATTACAGGTGGTAGATTTGTTTGCAAACAACTGCATCTAAGGTGCCCTTTCCCTACCTGAGTTAATTCCCCAGGAGAGGACTCCACTTGGGATGTTTACAACCATTCGCTTGGCACTTGCCTTGTCCAGCTTTGTTCTGCCGATCTCAACTGTTTCTGGGTGACCACCTGCCATTCACCCAACTGCAACAACAATCTCAAGCACCTCAGGCCTCCCTCAGCCCATCCTGGCATCCAGCAGGGGCACCCAATGGGCCTGCCCACTCTGCCGCACCTGAGGTGGCCGCTCAGACTTTGCAAGGCAGCCAACCGGAGGGGAGAAGCGCCACCCCATGCTGGCTCTCTTCCCTCAAGCCTGGCTGGCAGCCTCTTCCCGTGACTTTCATAAAGTAGAGAGAGGAGGGACAGGGCTCAGAATCATTCTAACCCCAATCCCTGCCTGCTCTGCCAGAACCCACGCCAAAGAAAAGTCTTGCTGCTGCAGCAGTAGGGTCCCCGGGGAGCTCAGACCAGGCTTAGGGGAACCAGGGGAACCGACAAGGCTGAGTGGAGCCGGGGAGGGGGGGCACAGAGGTTCTCCCGCCTGTTCCTCAGAGTGGACCCCTGGCTGCAGGTCTGGCCCTGCCTTCGGCCTGTGGCCCCCCCACTCCAGTTAAGTGAGTCACAGCTGTCCCTGCCACAGGATTCCTTGTTGCAGACTTGGTGCAACCCACTTCCCTCTTTGGGTTATGACACTCCCCCCAGGATTCTCTCTTCTCCCCTGCTCCCTACAGACAGACAGACAGACACACACACACACACACACACACACA